TGTTGAGTTGTGTCAGTTTTTCCATCAAAAATATTTCTTCTAGAATTGTTACCCATTGGTTTTTCGTTGGCGGTGCTTCCTTACCCCAATTCCTAGTGATAGATTCCTCGCTGGATATTAGCCTGGAGATTTACCCACATTTACTACATACAAAAATAAAGTCTTTCCCACAAACTTGTTTTGCTTACCTTGTGGGGACCAATAACTGGGTCCCCATGTTATTGGTGGTCCCCACAATGTCTGAAAACAGGTATATTTATATCACACAGCTACAGTAATAATTTATTTTAATGTTTTATGATTCGTTTTAAGTATTTGATTTATATTTTCAGTCTGCTGGACAATAATAATATTCCCATAATAGTTTCAATTTACATGTTTGATTTATTCACCACACAACACACACATTTGTTTAGTTTTTAAACATGTAAAACGTAAGTTAATTTGACATTAAATTGGTCAAAATTCAAGTGAAGTAAGACTTGTCACAGAGATTAACAACTTCAATAAAAAACCCACACAAGAGTTTGCATGACATTACATCACTGCATACACACCTAAACACACTTCTAACTAAAATAAAACCTCAAATGAAACACAAACTTCCATAAATCCTTTTCTTCTGTGACTGCAGGTATAAAAGTGTGTCTGTTTGTTTCTTTACACATCGAGCGTCTCCACACATTTTGATTTAAATCTGTGTGTCTCTCGTCTGTGTTGTCCATATATGGTTACAGTGTTTAAAGAAACCTCAGACTGGCAAATCAAACATCCGTAATAACAGAGTGCCTCTCCTCCCTCTGTAATTACACGTTTCAGCCAAATGACTGAGCAGCAGCCGCAGGAAAACAGTCCAAATGTACAAAATGTACAAAGAGTACAACATGTTCAGATATGTAGTTCTGTCTGAGCGTGTTGAAGGATTTAGATTTGTGGAGTAATAGATTACATTTAACAGGATTACATAATCAGGATACAAAAAAGGTATTCATATTTATGCTGCAGCAACACAAACATTTCCCAATTTCAATAAAGTACTTCTTATCTTATCTTATATTATCCATTACAGTTACATAAAAAGAGATGTAATCAGATCACTAGTGCAGTTCTAAAGATATTGGGATTAACCGCAGGATTACCATGTTACTATACATTATAAAATAAAGATAAATATATTATAGGTAGAAGTAATGCCTCTCTTTTCTCTTGGTTTTCATTCAGGCTTCTTTCCTTCTTCGTTATTTTAAATATCTCTGTTTTAAACACAGTAGATGCAATAAACAAAAACTGCATTTTTAAACTCTTAGGTCAAAGTCAAAGTCAACTTTATTGTCAACCTTTCAGTTTGTGTGGACAGACAGAGAGATCGAAACACCGTTTCCCACAATCTCGAATACAAAAAATACAAATATATATACAAATATGTATATCCAATTAAGACATGAATAAAAGCACAACAATCAATATATTCAAAATAACAGTCAATTCAATATTTCATCTCTCTGTGAATGATTTCATTTGAGTTTTCTCTGCACACGGCACTGCAGGACTGGAAAGTGTCGGTCTGCATTGGGTCACACGGAAACCGTTTCCTGAGAAATAACTTAACTTCTATTTTTTCTCACAGATCCTTGCCTGGATCACCACTGCAAGAAGGGCAAAGTGTGTGAGGTCGATGAGGATAACACCCCCATGTGTGTGTGCCAGGATCCATCCTCCTGCCCCGCCTCCGATGGAGAGTACGAGCATGTGAGTCCTGAAAAATTCTCTTCAACCTATCTTTAACCCTATCATCTGTTTCGCCTGAAAACCTGTCCCTATCGTTTGTGTCCACTTCCATTGTCTTCTCCATGATGGTATGTTTGTGTTTTTATCGTGTTCTGTTGCTTTTACCTCTTAGAATATTTAACAAATTGCACGGTGTCCTTGGGTGTCATGAAAGCCGCCGTAAATAAAATATATTATTATTATTATCATTGATATTATTAAACTCAGGTTTAAACTTGAAATAGATGGTGAAAAAAAGTTGGAAATGGATGCAGCGATTTCTGATATAAAATATTATCCTACAGAACAGAACAGCTGACAGAGAAGAGAGAACATCTGATCCTTTACAACAAACACTATCTGCTCTTCTGAGGGTTTTACTAACACTGTAATCCTGCTAGTAATCCAGCATTTTTAGATATAACAGTAATCTGATTACGTCTTTTGTTATGTAACTGTGAAGGAATACCGTTTAAACTCATTGTTTCCCGTCCTTCTGAAGGTTTGCGGCACCAACAATGTCACCTACGAATCCTCTTGCCACTTCTCCGCCACCAAATGCGCTCTGGAGGGAACCAAGAAGGGCCACAAGCTGCACCTCGACTACACCGGACCCTGCAAATGTGAGTTTCCTTCCTTCCAGCATTTCAGATTTTCCCCCAAAGTTAAGGTTTCCTCAAAGCCCTGACTCAACACTCAGACATTTTAGATGATATGTGAAAGGTGCAGAACGTATAAAGGCGGCGCGTGTGTGTGTGTGTGTGTGTGTGTGTGTGTGTGTTCAGTGTCTCGACTCTTTGCCTTGCTGTGATTAATAGGCGGATCCTCACACTGTCTGCTGTATCTGTACAGACACGCAGGCTGCATTTCTTTCACTGTTCAAACTGAACACACACACACACACACACACACACACACACACACACACACACACACACACACACACACACACACACACACACAACANATGTTGGTTACAACAACAGAAGCAATGTAACAATAGGCCAGCAAGGCAATACAAAATAAGAATAAAATAAAAGGCTATAGGGATATGTCCCATAGGGCATGTTATTATATTCTTGAAGATATATGTATCTATTAATTATTGTTCCAGTCAAATGATTTTTGTTTTGAGTATGCCCTATGGGACATATCCCTATAGCCTTTTATTTTATTCTTATTTTGTATTGCCTTGCTGGCCTATTGTTACATTGCTTCTGTTGTTGTAACCAACATGTTATTGCCATGTATAATGTGACAATATTTGAATTACAAAAAAAAAAATCTCCAGGGAATTGTAAGTCGATGCAATGGTGTGTGTGTGTGTGTGTGTGTGTGTGTGTGTGTGTGTGTGTGTGTGTGTGTGTGTGTGTGTGTGTGTGTGTGTGTGTGTGTGTGTGTGTGTGTGTAAGAACGTTTTTTGACAACTTACTATCAGCAAAAGCCTGTTCCTCCTCAAAAATGTCGATGGCCTCATCAAACTCTTCGATCTCAACCTGAACTGGGTTGGCCCCGACCTCAGGCTCCTGGGGAACAAGAGAGGTCAGAGGTCAGACTTTACAAATAGTACAAATACCTCTTTACTATACTTAAGTACATTTTTCTTTTTCAGCATGGAAACATTCATTAGCTAACAATGACATTATTGTTCTATTAATATAAAGGGAGTTCAGGTACTCTTTAAAACAGCTGCTAGTTATGGGTACTTTTTACTGAAGTACATTTCAAAGCCTCTTTACTTTGACTTGAGTAAAGAAGTTTAGTCAGTACTTCTACTTTCACCAGAGTATTTTAAAACATGAATATCTGTACTTCTACTTGAGAAAAGGATGTGTGTACTTTTGCCATTTATAATTTTCCCTGCAGTTGGTTTCCAGTCTTCAGGTCTATTTCTTCACGACGTCCACTTTAAACCACACCGCTTAAATATCCCTGGTTTTCCTAAAAAAACGTCACCACTAAAGAAGGTTCCTCCCTGAAGTCCAAACGGACCATAATATCCAGCAATAACAAGCAGCTGGGTCCACATGTGGTCAAGACAAGAATAACGTAATGGCTTCCTGACCGGCTAAAATTAACAGCTGTGGGATTTTGGGTCCCGCCGGACCTCTGGAGCAAGAAGCAATAAAAAGTTCCCATGAATGTTCACTCCAACGGTTTTATACGGGCACATTTGGGTAGTTTGGTATTGTTGACAACAGGCTATACACAAGTGAAGGGAGTTAGTCTCTCATAATAAGGCAACAACTGCCACGCCCCTCTGAGAGACATTTGTTTGATTGTTTGGATCGCGTCAAAGTTAATGAGTTTCCTTAGCTTATTAACTGTCACGAAAAACAAACAACTAAAGCTTCTTTGACCGCAGAGTTTAAAACATTTTCTCACAGATCAGATCATCTCTCTGAGCAGCTGCTTGGATCAGAAACACTTCACTGATGCCAAATCTAAATCCAATGAGAGCTAAAGTATTTATTTTCCCCAAAACAATCAGTGTAACGACGGCATACACAGGACAGAGCTTTGAGGGTTTGAAAAGATGATTTTAGTTCATAATTGGGTATTTCTTTTGTGTTTTTTGTCACAGTTTCTATCAATTATGGTTACATTTTACACATCAATGTAACTGCTGAGATCTTAATGGCATCTAAAAGGCATGTAGGTTATTTTGCGATTGTATCAGGACTGGTGAAGAGGTTGATATTTTAAGAGTATCGTTATCAGTGCAAGCTAAATGGCTCTATATCTCCTCTTACACATTTGTTAAGAAGCAGCCCCTCGTTGTGCTTTCACCTACAAGTCTGGAATTTGGTAGGCATATGTAACATGGTGAGACGCACAAAAAAGCCTATTGGACGTATATTGTAAACCCAACAGGAAGCCGGACATTTTGAATTTAATTTGCAACTTTTGGACACTTTTTCCAGTTCCACGTGCCATTTTTAAATAAACTCCTCCTAAGGTTTTCATCTGATCGACTCAGAATTTGGTCTGTACCTTCTTAAGACCTTTAAGATCAAAAGTTATTAAAAGCGTTAGTCTACATTGAAGGCATCATCTGGGAAAGGTACACTTATTGTATCAGAGTACTGAAATCATCCAGACTCTGCCTCATGGTGCTGGCCTAAAAATTCTACATATTCTTATATTTGCATCATCTTAGCTTTTAAGGAAAGAAAATCAACTTTAATCTTAAACAGATGAACATCTGGACTGACCTCAGCAATTGGCTCCTCGGCAATAAGGAGCTCCTCCACAAAAGCTTCCTCAGTCTGGAAAACAGACATAAACACATAGAGATTAATTAGTTATCATTTGTGTACATGAACACACACCTAGATAGAAGTCAGAAGCAGACCATGATGTCACCTTCAAATGCACACACACTTTGGGACAGCGTGCACACAGGAGAGCAATTGGATGTTCACACTATAATAAGAACACACCCACACACCAGTGGATATACACAGGAACTGAGGGTGGAAAGGAAAACACACACACGCACGCACGCACACACACACACACACACACACACACACACACACACACACACCCACCCCGACACACACACTCTCAGAGGATCTACTTCACCCTCCTCTCAGAGCCGGAGCAGTCAGACGCGCAGCAGCAGCGGAAGGAGCCGGTGGACTTTACGCAGAGCAGAAAAACACACTTTTTTCCTCCATGAAGTTTTGACTCTTTTTTCTCTGAGTTGATTTATTCCCTCGTGCTTCAGACTGACTTTCCGCATAGCAGGACACCCAGCATTTGTTTCTCCTTTTTCTTCTTTCCTGCGCTGATTCCTCCCTTCAGTGTCCTCTCTGAAGCCATGACGTCGCGCTGCAGGATGGAGCGGCTCGCGCTCACCCTGGTTCTCCTGTCGGTCTCGTGCAGCGCGTCAGAGTACGAGTACCTCTCCTGGAAGTCTGACGCGTACTCGCGCGGCTACGGGAAGGCCCCGCAGTGCGTGGACATCCCGCAGGACCTGCGGCTGTGCCACGCGGTGGGCTACGATCAGATGCTGCTGCCCAACCTGCTGGAGCACGAGACCATGGCAGAGGTGAAGCAGCAGGCGAGCAGCTGGGTGCCGCTCGTGCACAAGAGCTGCCACCCGGGCACGCAGGTGTTCCTGTGCTCGCTGTTCGCGCCCGTGTGCCTCGAGCGCCCCATCTTCCCGTGCCGCTGGCTGTGCGAGGCGGTGCGCGATGGCTGCACCCCCATCATGGAGTCTTTTGGGTTCCCGTGGCCCGAGATGCTCGCGTGCGACAAGTTCCCGCAGGACGACGTGTGCATCGCGATGACGCAGCCCAACGCGACCGAGAGCCCAAACCCCACAGGTAACATTAACTTTATTAACCCCACAGGTAACATTTGCGTAACGGTTGACAGGTGTGGAAGAAGTACTCGGATACTTGACTTAAGTAAAAGTAGAAATACTGCAGTCTTTAAATACTTTCAAATAGCAAAGAGCATTTCGATGTTGTCAAAACAACAAACATGTATCCTAGGGGTTAGGGTTATTAAGAGAGTCTAAACAAAACAAAAAAAGTGGCGACAGATAACCCACGTGTACCAAATATTACTTAAAAAGCAGATATTAAAGATATAAACAAATTAAACCATTTACAAAATACACATCCAGTGCCAGTATTTAAAAGTATTAGTAATAGTTATAAATTAGCAGCAGAGTGATGGTATTAAAGTGTCCTGCTTTGTCCTCATTTGTCCCACACATTGAGAAGATGTCCTGTATTTGATTGACAGTCACTCGTTTAAAATGTGTCTTTTATCCAATGGCTGTTTGGAAAGAGGGTTATCTCCATTAGCTGTGTCAGATGTCCACAAAGAAATGTATTTATATTACATTTAGCTGAGCTAAGGACGAAAAGAGCTGATATATTCACCTCAAACAGGCCATTGTTATTGCTGGTGCATAAAAGTGACTTTTTTAAACTATAGCATTACAGGTGAATACACATTGATTGAACTCTAAAATATATCATGTGTCAGTTGATTGTTGGAGTAAAAATCCATTCGAACCAAATATATTGAAGTCCTTCACTTTGTGGAATCGAATCAGCCGATTTTCAAACCTTATGGATAAACTAACTCTTATCATGTCTCACACAAGCTACTCTCTGTCACGGAGGAACACTGAGACCTCCATGTCGTTATTGTTCTGTTACGAGTTATTCAGACATTAAAGTATAAATGCTCATCTCATTACATTTGAAAACAGTGAAATGTTGACTTTCATTGAATGTATTGAATCCGCATGTTTAACATAACTGGATTAGGTTATAGTTGGAAGCATTAATGTTAAGTTGAACCTGATATTTGATGTGAAATACAGTTATTTATGATCAGCTTTTCAGTGTGTACTCCATAAGAGAAGAGAGAGGAGTGTGCAGAGGAACAGGACATATCTATAAGGTAGAGGTGGAAGAAGTACACAGTAAAAGCAGAGACATAGTAGAATTGAAATACTCTATTGCAAGTAAAAGTCCTAAGGAGTATTTCAGTGTTGTAATATATCAGATTTGTGTCGATTTAATGTACTTAATGCATAGTTCTGTTTTTTTATGAGTACTTTACTGAGAAGAGACATGAGGGTGCAAAGGGCTTTGGATGAGTTGAATATATATATTTTTTAAATACCTCGATATTGTTGCCAGATGTGGAAGAAGTACTCAGATACTTGAGTAAAAGTAGAAATACGATGGTCTTACTTAAAGTACTACTCAAAGAGCATTTCGATGTTGTGATACATCAAATCTTCCTGGTTAGATGAATGTGTGCAAAGGACTCGGCAACATGGAAGAAATGATCAAATATTTCTGATCAAATACCTCGAAACTAAAAGTACTCATTATGCAGAACGGGTTTTCCCCAAGTAGTAAAGTATAAAGTCACTTTAAGTGTTAATTAAATGTATAAAAGTGAGATATTTGCCTACAAAATGTACCGGATAGAAGTATATCCGAGTACTAGTATGTCTTTACTGCAGTACTTGAGTACATTTGGTGCATTTCACCACATTTCTGATCAATAATCAGCAGTTATGTGGATTTCATGGCTTGAATACAGTCTCATATCAAATTGATCAAACCTGATTACTGCCAAGAGAACTCAGCATGCCGTCTATTCATATTTTATTAAGATGCACTTTTAACCACTTGTGGACGTCTGGAGGTGTGATGCCTGGCTCAAAAGCACATTATCTGTTTTTCGATGAAGGCGGGCCACTTCGCTTTTGTCCGTAAACAAAGAGTGGATCTGCAGAAACACATTAAAACGTCTGCTCTGGCCCGAAAAGTAGTCAAATTTAAATATTTAATGTCTAAGTCTAAAACAGAGGAAAGCACCGGATTCTCACATTTAATTCACACGGAAACAGCAAATATGTATTTATTTAATATTCTTAAACGTTTGTTTTGCAATCAGAACAGTATGTGCATTTTACATCACAGTCCTTTTTCAAATCCAACATCATATCCTTGTCTTTTTTGGCAAAACGAACCCCTTTCCAAAAAGCTAAACTATTGATGAGAAGTCTGTCGTGTTTCTGGGAATAGATGCAGGACAACTAAAGAGTATATATATTTTCTTACCTAAATGTTATTTTCCTGTCCGTCTAAATGCAGATTCAACGCCTTCTCCACATGAGTGGAAAGGTGGATAAACAGGTGTTATTTAAATATAGTATATGCTTTTAAACTTCTTAAACTGAGAGACGCTTAATCTATTGATGTAGAATCTGGAAACAGAGAACATTGAGCATTTGTTGCTTGAAAACGGTTTGAAAAAAAGACTGCAGCCATTTGGGACTCCTTTCTAAACCTGGCATTAAGCAGAGAAAGAGGGAAGACAAACAGCTCTGGCGCGTTAGAGTCGACACCTGTGCAGCAAATGATCCTGAGAATGTTGTTTCAGGGAGGAAGGTGTTTGCTGATGCTAATCCCCACGAGAAGAAAGCAAACACAACCTTTTGGGGGAAATCAGCTGAACGGAGGATTTCAACTCATTCAAACCCCCCTCTGTAGTGGCTCTACTTTAAAGAGTCCTCTTCTGCTGATGTTCAGGTGTATATCAGTATGTAGTGTCTCTACTTTAAAGAGTCCTCTCCTGCTGATGTTCAGGTGTATATCAGTATGTAGTGGCTCTACTTTAAAGAGTCCTCTCCTGCTGATGTTCAGGTGTATATCAGTATGTAGTGTCTCTACTTTAAAGAGTCCTCTCCTGCTAATGTTCAGGTGTATATCAGTATGTAGTGTCTCTACTTTAAAGAGTCCTCTCCTGCTAATGTTCAGGTGTATATCAGTATGTAGTGTCTCTACTTTAAAGAGTCCTCTCCTGCTGATGTTCAGGTGTATATCAGTATGTAGTGGCTCTACTTTAAAGAGTCCTCTTCTGCTGATGTTCAGGTGTATATCAGTATGTAGTGTCTCTACTTTAAAAAGTCCTCTCCTGCTGATGTTCAGTTATATATCAGTATGTAGTGTCTCTACTTTAAAGAGTCCTCTCCTGCTGATGTTCAGGTGTATATCAGTATGTAGTGTCTCTACTTTAAAGAGTCCTCTCCTGCTGATGTTCAGGTGTATATCAGTATGTAGTGTCTCTACTTTAAAGAGTCCTCTGTCTGCAGGAGTGGATGAGCAGACCGTGATCGACATCCTGACGAGACGCAGCACGGAGCAGCGGAGAGAGATCGCCTTCGAATATGAACGGATCGCTAAGAAGGTTAAAAATGTTTCTTATTAATGAACATGTTGAAA